AAAAAAAATGAGACTATCTAATTCAACAAAATGATCAGAGTCTACAGAGAAAGTTACATATCATAATTTTTCAAAAACTTACTGTATGTCATTTGTGTAAGTAATGTTCTAGGTCCTAAGAACCACAAAAGTGAATCCAATAAAGTTTATTTTTCCTTATAAAGCTTCTGTTCTAGTAGGAAAATTAATAGTAATTAGAAAAGTATATAAAAGCACTGTGAGATAGTGAGCAAGCAAGTCCTGTGACTATGTGGGATGGAAAATGTACAGGGCAAGGGAGACATAAAGTATACAGACAGTGAGACTGCACAGCTGCTATGTTTTACAAAATACTGGAATGTCAATGTGACTACAAGGTAATAATCCAAGCAGAGAATACGGTGAAAAAAGATACTTTCGAATGATAAAATGAAAAACAGTCAATCTAGAGTCTTAATCCACCACTAACAGAGTCTCGTGAATTAGAATCAAGTAGATGTCACACAACAACAACAACAGTCAGCTGAGTAAGCCTAAGCAAGTCTTTAAAATGCTATGCTAGTTCCCTATGGCCATTGAGCATCAGGAACATATTGAAATATGTCTACTGGAGAACAACACGTTGATCATCATTGTTTTCTGTACCACAGTCCTCAGATGGTGGTTCAGAGTGTATTTGAATTATGTGGAGGTTACTATAGACTGGAAATTCTCAAACTATTTTTATTATTGTTGACAAGTTCAGTAATTAGTCTGTAGATAAAGGAGTCAGGGTTTCGACTGTCAGGAAAAGAAGTTGAAAATAAGTAATGGAGAAGACTAGAATAAAAACTGTGATGCTGTATTAAAATCAGAGATATCAGTATGCACTGAAGTTCATATAAATACATACAAGTATTAGTTTGAGTAGAAAGTTTCTAAATGTTCAGCATTTTCACTTTTTGATAGGATTTTTTAAATATCATTTTTCAAAGTTTTTTTCAGTTTAACAAATGCCTGGTTATTCATTTCCTCCTTGGTCATAGTGACAACAGATCTGGCAGCTGACACTGCCTTCTCTTTTGCGCTGCTAAGGACACTGAAGCACATAGAGAAACAGTGCATCATCTAAGAGCTTTCAGTTGAGCAACTGTTTGACTCTGCATTTGCACTCGGAGTTTGAAGTCCCAAGGAATCCAATGCATTTTCTAGGAATAGCTGCAGCTCAATGAGTGTGTCAGCCAGACAGGGGAGGCCACTGTGAATTCAAGAACTTTAACATTAGTTTTTGATAAATGGAATCTACCTACTAAAAGGAGAAATAAGGAACCGCTAAAACGTTTGCATAAGAGGCTCATACGTCTGAGGGAAAAAGGGAAAAAGAAAGGAATTATTGTCTTTGAGAGCTATGGGTCAGACTAGCCTTGTGTTTCTACCAACCCCAAAACCATATGATATTGTTAGCAATAAGCAGTCACTGACATGAAGAGACTACACATATGATGTAAAGTGAGAAATATATACATTTTATCATTTATTTATATATAGTCTCCCCTCTCTGGGCACCAGTATTATCTTTCTGGTCTTTTGTAACTAAGCATTCATATGGTCCCTAGATGGGTATGGAAGGGGGAAAAAAATTTAAAGAAAAGCCTGTCTTAAACCACAAAAATGTTTCTAGTTAACTGAGATTGAAAATTGTACAAATTCTCCCTTCATTCAAGCGTAATGCATACATAAAAATCTATAGACAAAGGTATGTACATATATTTAAATGCACAATATACATATATGTGTACACATACACATGTATATACCCGCATGTATATACCCGTGTATCAGTTATCAGGTACACTACTTTTCACTATAAATTTCTTCTACAAATTAATGTGACTTGTTATTAGTAGAATTTGGACTAGAGTTCATATCTTTAGTCTCACAGAAAGAGGAGAGTTGATATCAAGGCATTTGACTGCTAGGCAGAAGGTCGGTGGTTCAAACCCATCAGCCACTCTGCAGAAGGAATTCTGGACAATCTATTTCCATAAAGATTTCCCACTGCAGAAGCTCAATGGGGGTTGCTATGAGTTGGAACCGAGTTGATGGAAATGAGTTTTTGTTTTTTTTTTTAAACCATGTGCTATGCAGTTATACCTATTGTCCACTAAAGGACTCTAAGTCCCGTTGCATGCTTTTCATTTACCTGCTGAACAATCCCCCATTCATCATGAGCACACACGTTAAATTACAGATTGTGGGATCCAACTGCATTTTTGTGACCCTAAGCCTACTTTGTCCAGTTGTCATTTGTATTTACAGTATTTTCCAATAAGTATTTACCACATTACTATAGATTTCCTTAGCATATGGGTAGATAATTCTTGCTGAAAGAAAAAGGTCTATCCAGGAACAATTAATGTGAGTGTATTTGTTTAGAATTTATTCCACCCCTCAAGAGGTCTTTCTCTGAATTGGATCTTTATTATATGCAGATATAATGTGTGTGAGTATATACTAAAAATTATAATGACATCTCACAGGCATAAGAAAAGTAGTCTTTTGAGACTAAAATGACACTCATGCCAGCAGAAGAACATTTAAAGTCAAATACAGGGGTAAGATTTTCTTTAATAAAAGCACATTTTTAGATATATAAATCTGGACAGTTTTATACTATTGTAATTATTATTTTTTTAAATATGCATTTCATGAAAAAATGTTTAGGCTATATGTCTTGCTTTTTATTTAAGCATATATAGTCATCACACTTTTAAAATCCTAAACCAGGAGTTTGAGGGCCATGAACATTTTTGTTGTTGTTTATGATCAGCCAGTTCATAGTTGTTACATGAAGTCAGTTTGAGAGATGAGAAAACTGTGGTCAGTTCTTAGGAAATGATCCAAATGTTGATAAAATGGTAAATGACTGAATTATATGTAGGATATGTATTTAAAAAAACAGACAAATTTTCAAAACATGTATGTATGAAATAAATCAGACACAAACAAGTACATATTCCAGGATTCAATTTATGATTATTTCTCATTACATTAATGACCTGAAACTTACTTTAACCATCTTATCATTTCCCTACATAGTCTAAAATTATACAGATTTAAAAGAATAGCATGGGTTTGACAGGAATGTCTTTAAGGCAGCTTTCACGTCCTTATTCCTCAAGCTGTAGATCATAGGATTCAGCATAGGGATCACTAGTGTATAAAACACTGAAGCCATTTTATCAGTATCTAAGGAATGGTCAGTTTTAGGCTGCAAATACATGAATAGAAGTGTACCATAGAACACTGTGACTGCCATCATGTGGGAAGCACAGGTGGTAAAAGCTTTTTTCCTTCCTTCTGATGAACGTATCCTGAGAATGGACAAGATGATGTTGAAATAGGATACTAGAACTATAATCAAGGAAAGAACCAAATTTGTAGCAGCAGAAATAAAGACTACTGTTTC